GGAAAGAGCAAGCCCACAGTGAACTGCAAGTGCCCCAGAGGCCCAAGAACCATGTGAGGGATCAATTGCTCTTTCCCAGACACCATTATCCCATGCATCACATTGTTCCCAACCCACCTCAAATTCTAAAACTCCCCGAGACAGCTTTGCAATAACTAAGCTGGTCTGATCCTTCACACTCAACCAGATCTCACCCCACCCCTGCAGAGATCCAGCAGTTCTGTGAAAAGCCACAAACACATGCAGATGGAGACTCTGCAACATCAGCACGTGGCCAGCAATTACCAAATCCTCTTTAGTTACTTACTGGGGGTGGGTTTTATAGAGCCCTCCATCAATCCCAACAGTGGTTCGCATCCGTAGCAGTTTCTTGTTCTCTCTCAGCCGGGTCAGAATGGCTGCTAAGGCAGCAGCACAGAGGTTGGCTGAGCGGAAGGAAACGATGGTGCAGACGTGCTGAACAGCAATGCAGTCCTCTTCAGAGGGAAACAGGTTCAGCTCTGTAAGGATCTCTTTTGTGTTGCTCAGACCCTCCTTATATCTACCCCAAAACAAAAGAATACATCATCTAATGCAAGGATATTAAGGTTTATATCTACCCCAAAACAAAAGAAACCTTAATATCCTTGCATTAGATGATGTAAACACAAATCAATATCTTCACGTTGGCTCAAAAAGAAATGAGTGAAGATCAGGGCACAACCTATCAGGCAGCATCATAATTGGTTCCCACAAATCAGTAACGCCTTTCACACACTATTCCCAAAAGTATCTGGGGGAGAGACCAGATTTTAAGAGGCTGCTTCCTGGGGTTCAGTGTTTGGTGAGACATACCAATTAGCAAGGCAAGAAAAGAAAAGGATAAAATATTTAGTCCACAGAAGGAGAGCACAGGAATAGATGTATGGTTTCACTCAATACAAGAAGAAAATTATTCCTGAAGTAACAGTGAGGACAAGGATTCCTCTTCAAAACACCAGAATCTGTCAGTTTTCCATGTAGTCATCCATTGGCCGATCCAGCATCTGTACTACACCTCCAAAACCCCAGCACTCCTACATCATGGAAGCAGAAAACTGCAACAATCATCCCACGTACTCAGGTCTGCAGTGAGGTTATTTAAAGAACTGGTATCTGTGATGGTTAACAATATATTTGCTCCTGTGGTACTTTGCTAAAATGGTTTCTTCCACCATTTCCTACTTACAGGAAGATCAACTTTCCTCCTAGGCAAAAGCAAAATCAAGTTGAACAGTTCAGGATTGCTCCCAATACTCAGAGATAATAACTACATGTTTGTCATCATTGCTGTGCTTGTGAAAGACTAACAGCCACTCTCAAACAGCATACTGCAGGTTCTTACTTTTCCATTGCAGACACGTGTTTCATCTCAATCTTGCCCTTAGTAAGCAGAGCTGTTGACACTTTCCCATTGAAGAGTAGCCCTTCCTTTGTCATCTTCAGGATAATGAGTCTTACAAGTTCCCCCAAATACAGGCTGCTGATCATCTTCTCAAACCTAGAATGCAGCAGAGGAAAGATTACAGATGCCCACCAGCTAGTCAGAAGCTAGGAAAGCTCAGGTATGAGCATCTTATGTCCTTATGTAGGCTGATCACATCTGAGCATGTACAAAAGGGGTTGGGGAGCTAAGCTGTGGATGGGGTGCCATCCTGAGGTCCTGGGACTCAGCATTATACCAAAACAACAACATATTTCTAAAAACACTGCAGCAGCAATCCTTTGGCCTGGGAGGAAGGGAGGTATGAAAGGTACACACCCTTCCCAGAAGGGAAAGGTCTGGATAGGACAGGACCAGGATCAAGTCAACTCAGATTCACTTAACCCAGTTCCTGTTCCAAAGGGGCTCCTGGCGTGTGCTGGAAACTCACCCAGAGAACTCTGACTGCCGAAGCAAACCAGCCAGAGAACCACTTACAATTGTTTTCCAGGATTGATAGATCCCAGATCGAGCTCCCGATCGAACTCTGTGCGGAGGTCTTCCAAAGCACCGTCATCTCCAAAGGCCCCCCACTCCGTGTTAATGCACATCCTGCCCTCATCCCCCGCCACCAGGTCGATGTGCCGCATCTCCTCCATGTAGCAGGCGTTGGTGCCAGTCCCTGTGCATGTTGGAGACAGTGCAGATAAACCACCTGTTTGCTCCAGGTTTGCCTTTTGTCTGTTTTAAGCCCACATTTTGGGAATAAGTCAGTATATTGTCTTTGGAGGAAAAAATAAATACATAACCCTATGGTACAGGATGCTATTATCAAGCCACCTGCACTTGTTAAATAATCATCTCACGGAGACCAAAAACATTTTGGAAATTGATCCAAGGCTTGACTTGTTTAAAAACTTTTTTTTTTTTTCCAAACATACTTCTATGTGCCTTAAAAAAGCCAGCATGGTGCACGAAGTGGAGACATTGTGGGAAGCGTAGCTGATCCTAACTACCAGACGTGAGAGGAATTCAGCTTTCTCTGGACAGACAGACAGCAATTTTCTATACAGTCAGCAGAAAAGTTTAGTATGCTGGTCACAACTGAACCCAGACAAAATGGGGACTGTGGTATTTGGTGGCAATGTGATCAGCATAAAAACAGCTGTTTTACAGAAGGCAGCCAGGCTTGAAAATCTGACCATTGTTTTTTACATTTTCTTCCTGCCTTTTCCAGTACTGGGACACTCCTTTCTACTCTAGATTTGTTAGGATTAAACTAATGAGGGGAAAAAAAACTACTTAGTGAACAGAAAAAATTACCAATTACAAGTCCAACTTCACAGCGCTGGTCATCATATCCACAAGTCATCATGGTTCCCACGGTGTCATTGACCAGTGCCAAAACATCAAGGTCTATGTCCTAATAGCACAAAGATGGGTGATGAACAGGAAAAAAAAAAAGAAAAGCTTAGAAAACCTCCTGTGTGTTAAAGTGACAGCAGGCAGACACACTCCCTGGGTTGTACTTAGAAGGCCTGGTTCAGGAAAGTTCTTCAGTTGAAAGACACACCACTTCCTTTATAACACTATCCCCACAACCCTGTAAAGTAACAAACAACTCTGAATTCTCAAGTGCTGGCCAGCCAGGACTTTTGCTTGTAGGGTTTCCCCAATCCAGTGTTGTTTGGGAGAAAAGCAATGTGTTGTTGCATTTTGTGATAAGCTAGCACCCCTGGATCTGTCCTTACAGGCTACATGATAGGATAATGTCCTGCCATCAGAGCAGACCCCACCAAATGGGACAGAAAATACACATACATAAATGCAGCTATTCAGCACAAGGCCATGCACCAGTATCTCTCTCAAGTAAAAAGCCTCTCCATCAAAACTGTGCAGTTTTCCTTTCACACTGAGGTAACCTGAAGTAAAATCAAAGTTATTAAAATATTCTTGTAACTCAGATGCCAACTGCTAGCAGTGAGCCAGACTCCAACCAGGAAGTCTCAGATCCTTTGCTCCTGCTAACTACAGCAAGATTGACATGGAGGAGAAAGAAGTGGACCAAAATCAAGGCTGGATTTTTACCATGTGAGAAAATAGAAGAATTTGCTCTTTACTACAAAGATTTCACAATATGGAAAGATGATTTGTATTTCTTAAATGGTATTACCAATAGCACCAAATGTGAAGAACAAGGCTTTCCAAAACAGCAAAACATAATATTATTCAAAGGTATACACTAGTTCAAGGGCACATTTAATCATGTCTTACTGCTGACCTTATCCATCAATCACTCCATCCCACAGACTGAGGTGGATGGCCAAGCCCTGGTAGTTAGGCTGGCCAGTTTGAGATGATAGCTTCCCCTTCCCAACCCTCATCCCACAAGCCAGGCTACAAAACACAGCATGTACCCACATCTTAACAAACTGGTTCACAGCAGACTCCCTTTAGCTCAGTCAGACAATGGATCCATACTGGTCCACTGTCATGGCCAGCCCGTTTAACACTCTGCAGTTGCCATCACTGTTAGACTGACCCAGGGCAGCCTGGGTTGCAGCTGCATGTCCCGTTCCATGGCTCCAGCCCCAAGGGAGAGACAGATCTACCAGGCATACAAGTCCTGGTGAACATGTGTTACTGTCTGTCCTTGAAGGACACCTGACAACTCCCAAAACAACCCAAGCACCAAGAGCTGCTCTCCCAGGAGGACAACCTGGTGGCACGCAGGTTCACCTCCTCCAGGTACAAGACTTGCCTTATGCTTCTGGAGGGCCTTGCGCAGAGAGACAACCACATCTGTGTCCTGAACTCCTCGGACCTTGAAGTTTTTTGTCCAGCCAAGAAGAAACCCCTGCAAAGTAATAGCTCTGTGACTCAAAAGCTCCACCTTTCACATACAAACCTGCCTCAAAGAAGGCCAAAACCAAAGTTTGTGTTTCTGCAAGAGAAACTACAAAGAGAGGCCCACTGTGTCTCTCCACACAGAATATGGGCCAAATTAAGTCACAGCAGAACATCTCACCTTGGGGTGCCTGTCAGTACAAACACAACTAAACAGGCACAGTTAGAAAGTCCCAATCCTGCAAATGCTTCTCCCTGTGCTTTGTTTAAAGCCTGTGTGGCTTTACTGATGCTCATCACAAACTAAAAGCATTGAGCACATAGTGTTTGCAGAGCTGGGACCTGAAGCACCAACTCCTAGAAATAAGACAGAGGCTAGAATAAGAGGCCACAAAATAATAACAACCAGTCCTTCTTTTCCCCATGTGGCCTCTCAAACAGCACAGCTATAGGTTTTTCCTGTTTAGAATCATCCCTAAAACAGAAATTGGATGAGAGTGATTAAAAATAGAAACATCTAAGGATGCAAAACTATGTGTTTTACAGTCTAACAATCTTCATAGAAGAGCTCATGGTTACTATGGAAGTGGGTACTGAATAAGTAAAAGAGCAGCTTTAACTTAAAGATCATGTTGCCTTGAGATCAGAAATGAGTGTTTGAATGGTAGTCCAGTCTAGTTACACGCTCATGGTCATCCATGCCTTCTTCAGAGAGCTATGTAAACATGACCCCACAGAAAGGCCAGAGGGTAACACTCCCATGCAGTAGCTTCTTCAGGTTCCACAAGGAGCTAGGCTAGCCAATAATTCTTCTTTTGGCATCTTACCTCGTCCAGTTTGGTCTGTTTGCATGGAAAAGAAAATGTAAAGCCAAGAGGTAATTTCTTATGCTTCAGGTTTTTGGCCTCCATGAAGTCTACCAGACAGTCAGCAATGTAATCGAAGAGCTGCAGGAGAAAGGAGATGACAGAGTCAGGCTGTGTCTGGCAGGTATGCGCTCAAGCACAACAGCGCCACAGAAGACCCTGCATGCCCTACCTCAGTTCCGTTCCCCTGTACGACCTCCTTGGGTGTGGGGTAAAACTTGCTCTCCAGCTGGCTGCTCTGCTTCCCATCATCGAACACCTTCACCTCGTGGGCACGAAACAGGGAGCCACCCAGGTCAACAGCAAGGAAGTCACCCTTTTCTGCAACACAAGCAGGCAACCATCACTGGTGGCGGTTGAGAAGCATGGCCCAGATGCTGTGCTGAAGGCCACAGTCCAGGGCTCCTGCCTCAGCATGGCCACAGGCTCTCCTGACCCATCACAGCAGGTCCTTATCCTATGGGCCTGGGAGCATCACCAGGAAGGCTGAGAGGTGGCAACCCTAAGAACGGGTACCAGGTGCCTCCTGTTAGCTGCTACTTGGCAAGTAATTTCATATTTATCTAGCAGTCTGGGTTTACCCACCCTGCTCCTTCCACAGCAACAGGTTTTCAAGATGCAGAAGGATGAGGACACAGGGGCTGCAAAACCATACACCTGAAATGTGGGAGTTTGAGAGCATTCCCTACATCCAGTAAAGGATGTCACATGTGAAGACTTGGCCCTACTGCAGGAGTCAACTTCCAAATGCAGCAAGACTAACTTGCCACCCAAAGCCAACCAACACAATAATTTCTGAATGCCTTTAGGTGTTTCTGTACAAGTACTACTGTTCTCAGTAAGCAGCACTCTTAGCTCAAGCATGTTCTTCTCCAGACAGAGACCTCAGATGGAAGGACAGTTTGGCCTCACTGCTACAATAAAACAATTACCTATCCCACACACAGAAGGCCCTTCCCACCAGGAAAATGCATTTGTATGCGCGTAGCCTTGTGCTATCTTTGTTCCACAGTCCAAACGCCTGACTAAATTTTATCAAATCTGGCCCTGAAAGGGAAGGAAGCAGGAAATTCTACTTGTGATATCATGGTCGGATATCACGGTCAGATATCACAAAGGTGAGGAGGTAACTTGGGTTACTCAGTAAACTGAGACATTAGTCAGGCCATCAATCCCTAGATGACTAAAATCTGATGATGTTCCACATGGGTCATTTCATGTAGCAATACTGAGGGCATGGAAAAATCTGAAAGTTCATTGCTATTACAAGTGGGGAAAATCCAGCCAAGTTTGAGATGTTTAAACCTGCTGGAAGTTTTGTCTGGAAACAAAATAACCAATAAGGATTTTACAAGAGAACAAAAATAGAAAAATCAATGTGATACTTAAACAGGCAGCGTGTCAATAAGACATAGCCCAGCTTGACTCTGCAGCAAGTCCTTGACACGGCAGATAGGTCACGCAGACCAGGGAAGTATTGCCCAAAGCTGACCTTGAGGAACATGAAGTCTTGCAACAGTGATAGCACTACATGCAGTTTTCAAAATCTCCTGACCTCAGAGGCCCCCTGCTATTTCAGGACAAAGTCAGTGCCAGGTGAGACCTCAGGACCAGTGATGGGCACTGAGATAGCCGGCAGCAAGCTATTATTTCTTTTGCTTTGGTGAGGGTAGCAGCAAAGGAGTACCCAGTTCCAGCCAGGCAGTTTGAGGGGACTGTGTATAATTTCCCTCAGACACCCCTCATTTCAAGGGACTGGCCTCAAAAATGTTCCCATCATGCCACTGAAGTCACTACTCCTCATTTAATTGTAGGAAAATTACCTCCAGAAGGAATAAAGTCCTGTGGAAACAGGTACAAAACAAACATTTCTCTTATGTTTTCTGCACAGCTATTACACATGGAGTCCTGGCCCAGGTCAGACAGAGAGTCCTGCACAAATTCATAGACCTAGTTAAACCTGGGATAATTTTCCATCCACCTGCACTGCTGGGAGTTAGCTGAGCCAGGAGAGTTATTTTGGATGTGCGTACTTCTCCAAACAAGATGGGCTTTTAGCTCCTAACCGACCTCACACCCTCCCAGCAGACACCACTGCACTTTCTGCCTCCCTGTTAAAGTCTCAGGCACTGGAATCAAGGATCCAGATGCAAAAGCAGAGCAAGCTGTTTCCTGGTAGATTCCGTCCAGAGACAGATTTTCCCAAAGCAGAAGGCAAGGAAGGGCAGGAGAAGATCACTTTTGGGGACAACAGAGAAAGCAGTGCAGAGTCTGCTGTCAGAAGCCAAGAGGGCATCACAGATCTGAGAAGGCAACACTGGTGCCACTTTGCAGTTTGAAGGGTCTCACTGCAGCACCCTGTAGCTCCATGAAGGCCAGGGCCACAGCACTGCCCACACCTGCAGCACACTGCACTGCAGGGTCTGAGCTGTAGAGGCTGCCCTTGCCGTGTCCAGCCATAGCTCCTGCAGCAAGGCCTGCTCTAGGTACAGCCACATCTGCAGACGAGAGAGGCTGCTTTCTGAGCACTTAACTAGGCCTCTTCCTCAAACAAGCAGCACTAGGTCAAAATCTACCTGGTGCAGGGAAAAAAACATCTGCCAGCACCTCCTCAGGCTCTTGTCTCCTCAATACACACCTGCTCTCTCAGCATGAAAGAGCCAGTAACCGGAGGCCGCTGGCTGCCCTGTGTCTTCCTTGTGCTGTCCTCGAGGACTGGCAGGAGCCCCCCATCTTCCTAAACCAGCAGTGCTGGGACGGAGCAGGGGAAACTCACCTGAGCCATCGGGAAGCGAGCGCACGAACGAGGGCAGCATTTTTACCGTTGCCGTGGGGTTGGTGTCTCTCCCCAGGCCCTTCACCATCTCGGCCTGGAAACGAGCCATCACGTCCAGCAAGACATCATCCGAGAGACGCATGTGATACAGGTACCTGTCCACCTGGAAAGATGAAAGCTGTTACTCCGGAGGCGTGCAGCCTCTTCAGTGCTCAGCAGCTGCTTTCACACTACAGAAGGACTCTCCTGTGTGCTCTGGGGAGGGTTCCTTCACCTCTGCAAGCAAAGAAAATGCAGGAACTTCCTAGCCACTTGCACTAGTTTTCTAACCATGAGGAGGTTAGGTTGGCATGAAGGACCTGAAAATTCAGAACTCCAATCCCAACAGGTTCCCTGCATTACACTGGACAAGAATTACCGTGCTTGTTCCCACCCGCCTGATGGACATGAGGCTAAACAGACCACAAGGAGACAAAAGAATTCCTTTCACATGTGTAACAAACTGAAGGTGAGCATAACACCTACACAAACCCCACCTCTCAGATTCTACAAGTTCATTTTTGACCTCAGCACCTAAAGTCCCATAACCATCAGTGCAAGCAAGCTCAAGGACATCACCAGAACATTTACTCTTATAAAAAACTTTGTTTTGAAAGTATTTAATGCAGCCTCAGTGAATTACTGGCAAGAAGTTAGCCAACTTCTCCAATGGCTCAGTAACTTGCCAACTTACATAAGCCCATTAGACTTTCTGGAGACCCTGACAAGCTGTTTTCACACTATCCTCTCCTCCTACACATAAAATAAACAAGAACTGCAAAGTATCTTGACCTGGTGAGAATCTGACCCCTCTGAGTCAGGTCCAGAAAATGCCATCAGTACCCAAGCGTGTCAGCCACAACCTGAAAACATCTATTCAGCTACTGCTTCACTCCACAGACAATTAGCTTTGTTGGCATGGCAGGCTGGAGCTCAAAGCCTTTTTCTCACTCCAGCTCTGCCCTCCATTCTCTTGTAATTCTAGGATTAGATCTAAAACACATTTTTGGGCATAACCAATATCCTTTCTTAAGGGTCTATAATTCACAGCATAGATCAGAATAAAAGCCAGTCGAATTTAAAGTGAATCAAAAGCATCTAAGAAGTAGCAGACACTCAATTTGGATAAAGTGGCAGAGAAGCTAATCAGCGTTTCTGTACAGCTGCATCAGGACAAAACTTGAGGTTTTCTTCTTCAAGACCACACACTGCTTAGACTGACATTGACCTGCAGGGCTGGATACACAGCTGGAAGCAGGGTGGCCCAGAAACTACATAGCTGGGTACAACAAAGGATTGACGGAGCAAAATGACAACCTGCCAACATCCAAACGTGTTTTCAGTGGGGAGACAGACTTTGGTGCTGTGTGAACACACAGTGATGCAGGCATGATTATTCTGTGCTCCAAACCGCTGGATGTCCACTGGAGTATAATCTGTGTTGACATCCTGCTCCCCACGACACAGGGCCAGAGGTGGTGGGCAGGGGAGAGAGGCAGGACAGCTTCCACAGCTTCACTAGTACAGGCACTCAGCTCTTGCACCACAGGCTACACTATTATGCTGCTTTATCTGTCACAGCATTTCATCAGTCTCGTTTATGTAGAGAGGTCCTGATGGGCTGGGGAGACCATGCCCAAAACAAGTCCCACCGGCAACAAGGCAGAATTTAAAAGGTAGCAGGAGAATGCAGGTTGTAGGTAAACTGGCCTCCTCTGCAACTTGGACTGGCCACCTGTATTAATGAGGCACAAACTAGTTACCTATTCACAGTCCCATTTTAAACTGATGGTCAGAAACGACCCACCTAAAAGAGACAGGACCCTACAAATCAGCACTTACCTAACACCAAAATAAACACACACAGAGGAGAAAGTCTTTAACTGAAGGATGCAATTGGCAAGGAGCAGCAGCTGCCTTTGGAAACAGCTGTGCCTTGAAAAGGCCATTATTTAGATCTTTCTTTGTAGCCATCATTTGTACAAGCACTTGATTTCCTCCAAGTCTTTTTTGAGGCCCAAACCACTTTGCAGGATCCACCATCTCAGCCCAAGCACCAGCACTGCTTTTTTGGGCATACCCCCAAAAAAAGAAGAAAATACAATGACTAGAGAGACAGAAAGCACTCACACACTCTCACACAGATCCAAACAACCTTGGGACAAAAGTCCCTGTGGAAAAAAAAAAAACAAATGGTAATAAAAGTGACCATGTTTGTTTGCAGACAACACTGCTCCCCAAGAGACTGCATTCTCCACCCTGCATACCTACAACCATAAGAGGAGATGGTCCTCTTCAAGGAACTAGATAAGGCAGAGCCCAGGAAAGCCTGCCAGCTCCCTAGCCTGGTTTACAACCAGAGCAAGGGCCAGCTCACATACCATCTGCTTGTAAACCCAGAAATCATGCAACACCAAACTCTGCTGTGCTGCCTCCCATCACACAAGGACAGTCCTTGTTTTTAAGTGTTTTGCCTCAGTTATGGAAACAGTACTGTTCTCATGGCAGGGAGGCTCTTGCTCTTCTCACCAGAAAGCAAAGAAGCCTGGGAAGGGAGAGGAGGGAAGGGATTCCTTCTTTCTGCTTAGGAGAAACCAACTCTACTCCATACAGCCTACTCTGGGCTTCTTAAAAGAGAACTCTAAAGAGCATGCGGTTTCTTGCCTTCAGGGAGGGCTAGTTGACAGCCAGCAGAAAGATTTAATCTTTTTAATGGCTTTACCAGAAATCCTCTGGCCCCTCCTCCCCAATATCCTCACTTCAGGGAAGTCCCCCCTCAACTACACTCTGAATGTTTCCTCTCCACCCAAGCACTGCTCCACGTCACTTTCTTTCTTAATAAAGAGTAAGAAGAAATAGCACTGTCTGGATATGAGATCTTATATCAAATCCTCAAACAAGGAAAGGGCACTGGGGATGCCTTCTGACCAAATTAAACCCTATGACTGAGAGACAGAGACATCTGACTGTTGAGATACCAGGATCTCTTTTGGAATGCATTTCTTCAAGGCAGAGTTAGTGGAAGAATCTCCCCTACAAACAGGCCACTCCCTGTTTAAGCCAGGGCACAGAGAAGAGAGCCCAGTGTTGCTCTGGCTGATACTCTGGACTGATGAGCTAAGAGGTGCAGGCTGATCTGCCCGCGGGGACCTTGGATCTCCCGCACTGCCACACGCCTGTGGGCAGCCCCGCCTCCAGCTGCCACAGAACAAGGGAAGGGGGCAGAGCCTGGAGGCAACAGCCACCAGCAGAAAGCACTCCATGGAGACCCCAGAACACCGGACCCCCAGGGGGCATGTTGAGAAACCAGAGGACCTCTGATCCAAGAAGCTTACAGCTGGTCTTATGACACAGAGCCAAAAACCCATTACAGCATGGCCAGTAAAGTTACATTAGGGAAGATAACCGTTGGGTAGCTCCCTCTCAGTACCAATGGCTTCAGATCTGGGCCATCCTGAGCTTTTCTGACTGTAATTAAAGGTCACGACCATAAACATCAGAGTGATGCCAGGTTTGGACAAACACAAAGGAAGCACAGGCACTTCTCTCACATCACACTAGTTGGAACTGTCTCAAGTCCCAGAAAACCTGGTCCCAAGACTCCAGCAAATTTCCCTACCCCTGCTACAATGCGAGTGACTCTGATTCCTAATCAGCTTTAGAAATCCCATCCTTCACGCTACAGTTGCCAAGTGATTCAGCAACAGATTCCTTTCTGTCCCCTGGACTATGCCACGCCACGCCAGATAAAGTCTGAGCACCATTCTTCCTTACTGAAGACCAGCTGCTCCATTCTGGGAAGAGAACTTGGAGCTGTGCAGGAAAAAGCATTAACTAGACCTATTTTAACCCTCGTCAGGTGATTTAGGGTCCAAATGCTTCTTATGCCATTTGGCTGTATGGCTGTAGTAGATAACGCCATTATCTGGTCTGCATTACATAGCACAGACCCCAGAGTATCTGAGCAACACAGTTCTCAAAACAGGAATCGGCTAATGCTGCATCTTACCTTTTTAATTTGATCCTCTTTTAGCTTTGTGAAATGGAAAGCTAGCAAGTGGACGGCAAACATTTTCTTGAAGCAGATGGATGAGTCAGTAGTGGCAGCGTTGCTGTAACTCCAAAGCGACAGGTCTTTTATTCACGAAGCTGGAGCTAGAGAAACTTCAGCTGAGGCATTTCCCCCAGGGTGAGATAGTAGAGTTCCTGGGAAATTGAGTCCAGAAATAAATCCATCCAGTGTGATCGGTTCAATGATTAAACTTCTGCCTCTTCGTATCATCCCCCCCCACATCAACCCGAAGTCCCTCCCTCCCCAGCTACACACTTCATTGTGCCAGGGCAGGCACCTGGAGAGCTGCCAAGCTGAAGGGGAGAAAAATCGATTTCGTTACTGCCCCACTTGGGAATTGTTACCACTTTGCAATGTAGTTGCTACGCAGCCTGCCCTGCTTCGCTCCGCTTCCCCCCCGGCGGGGCTGACAGGATCCCACCAGCACCGTGTGCGACCAAGTGCTGCAGGGAATCTGGAAAGCTAAGAGAGGATTTTAGGAGGTTTCTTCCCTCTGCTCAGCGCTCCCACTTGTGAGACGAGCTCTTCTGCATGAATTAACTCAGCTCTAGTTCCACACAGCTCACCCTTATCTGCAGCTTTTTTCCAGTTAAGCCTCAGCTGTGTAAGGAGTGAAGTGAGACACGCAGACCCCTGCCCCCAGCTGAAATACCTCTTGCACAACGTCCAGCAGACAGGTTTTGTACAGACTACTCTCCCTTCACCCCTCCTGAAGACAAAGTTTCAGACCAATGCAGATCCTCAGTATTGCAGAACCTGGGGAGGGGACAGATTTACCTGGCTGCCAACAGCGTTGATATCAGACTGCCTCACTTGATAAAATGCCTTTAACTGGCAGCACAAAGTGGCTACGGCAAGGGCAGCTTCCTTACGCCATCAGAGCTCAGTATGACACAGCCTTTTTAACTATTACACTCAAAGGTCTGTTCTGAATGCACAAGTGTTTCCAGGATTTCTCACTGTATCAGGTGATATGGACTATGGGAACATCATCCGAAGGAAACTGGGTGAAATGTTGACACAGAGAAGCAAAAAATGAAAAAAAAAAAAAAAAAAAAGGCATTCTCATGGGGTAATTAGAGGCTCAGTCTCAAACTACAGGTACACCCAGTGCTCAGCATTTCCGCTGGAACTGAGCACACTTACTGCACTGGCAGACAATTGCCACCCAAAACTCCGCAGAACAAGATTACAGTTAAAAATTATTTTGATAAATCAGAAAAACAGCCCCGGGGCAGGAGGAGAAGAGGGAGAGGGAAGGGTGTGGAAGAGGGGGGCAATGCCAAAAATGGGAAGAAACACCAAAAACTACTCAGCAGAAGTAGAAAACTGTCTACACAGATCTAGTGCTGGTTAGCAGAGAAGGATCTCAGGTTCTACCAATTCACAACCTGAAGCAGACTGAACAACCTCATGCTACTGTGAAAAAAGTACTATCGGTCGTCATGCTGGTCTGTATGAACAGGAGTATAATCCACAGACACACAAAATAATACTCAACTCTCTACTCAGCACCAGTCTCAGGAGGAGGACTCTGCCCAGTCCTGGCAGCTACAGCATGCCAAGAAGGCATGGATCAGAAGGAGTCAGCTCTGCTGAACATCAGGAGCAGTCACAGGGCACAACTGAGGGAGGGCAAGGGAACTCCCTCTACACAGAAGCTCTGCTAGGAAAGGCTGAGGTCTTTCTTTTTTCCTCTTTTTTTTTTTTTTTGTTTTTCCTACCACTTTGCATCAGGGATGATCTGGACACTGGGAGATCTTGCCAGCTCTATTTATTTTCCACTATTCTAGAACAAGAGTACAGCAGACAGAGTGGCTGAACAGTCCATAAATAGGGCTTGTTCTAAAATTAGGCCTTTGATCTTCAAGAGAAAGGGAGAAAAGAAAGAAGAAAAAAGCCACACTACCAGCCAGAAAGCACGGTTCACTTCTCCTGTATTCATCTTTTAATAACTGCTGGCTCGTTAAGTCAGACACTGACTCCCAGAGGGACTGTCTCTTTCCTCATTGTTTACCCATGCCATCCGAGTCACAACCCCTCTGGCCAGCAAAATTGAAAACATCACCTTTCAAGCTCCATCCCACTTTGATCCAGAGCTCATTGTGCCTGTAATACAGCAGATTTATTTTTCATTCTCTCTTTTCTTTCTTTCTCTGACGGATGCCACTGGAAAAGGGTCTCAAAGATCTAAATGTTACTAAACTGGCAGCAAGCTCTGTTAAATACCTGACATGTCAGAATCACTGCGTAACTTGTCTGCTCATCCCTGGTGCATCCTAGCTTCAGGCAGGCTGTTGTGCAAGAAAAGACAAGACATGATCTCATTCCACACAGAGAGCGGCTCAGCAGCCCCAACACCGACACGCGCTGCAGCCATTTTGTACGAATTCCAGCTGCTCCAGGGGGAATAACCCAGGACTGAGTGAACAGATCAGCTCCAACCACATGCAGCTTGGAGTTTTGAGGCAATGTTGGTTTTTCCCTTTGTTAGAGCTGCACCCAATAAAAATTAGTCGCAAGCCCTCCCTTCCCCCTTTGCAAGGGCCAATAAGGCTCCAATGCTTTAATACTCCTCTCTCTACTTCCTTCTCCTGCAGTTCTCCCTCCAAACCTTGTCTCAAGGCACAATGAAGAATCCTGAAGAGGCTGATGCTCAGGTAGCGCATCCGACTCCCACAGCCTTGCAGCCAAAGGTCTGTAGAGAAAAGGAGCTCACAGATACAATGGAGAAATTCAGAGAAATGCCCAAGTGCATCAGTTAAACATGCACCAGTCACCTCCAGGAAGAGGTACTGTATTAACAAGCACGTTATTGTTGAAATGCATCTCTCTTTGGTGAGGTATTGTTCTGGTTTGAGTCCCTAAGCCACAACAGGCATCAAAGGTGGTGGCAACACTCGTTACAGAGTTTGGCACCCAGGTTAAGAAGGAGACAGTGGACAAGGCTACAGGCGAGTCATCAGGAGAAATCCTCTTTGTTACAGCTTATGTTTCTAAGGCCAACCCTTACAACACATTTCCCCTGCCAGCAGCAGCAGCTGTGTTCCCCATTGTATCCCCAAAAGTTAATCGAAACTCAAAAAAGACAGGGGTCCAGAAAGGGATCCTTGAATACATCCTGCACACAGCTCTCCTAGGGCTACATCGGGGCCGCAAAAGAAGACAGAACACCTGAGGGAACTGACTGGAAAATCCATTCCAAAGACAGAGACTACTTAGAAGAGATGGAGACTGCAGAGACAGAAAAGAGCACAATGGCTTAAGAGAAAGAAGGCTTTTACCAAGTAGTGCTGTTACAATCAGCTGTTTACATTTGAATTGTAACAAATAAACAAAAACAAATTAAATCATGAAATCAGTAAACTTCCAAACACCTGTAACTTGAAAGCCTGAAATTAATCTGGAAATCTGAGCACCCCAAATAAACGGGTTTGCAAACGTGGTTCCTGTATCAAGTGAACAATGTTGTTGATGTCTAAAAAGTTTTGTCACAGCCCAGCTAAGAAGAGCAAGAGGCCACTCAGTCCTGCCCCAAGGGCTTGCTTGCAGAGGACACGTTAAAAAAGTGCAGCTGGCCTAGGGCGACACCGCACCAGTCTGGACTGTACCACATGGGCCCAATCTGGCAGCCGTTCTAACGGGAGTCAATGACAGCCACACCGTTAGCTCAGAAGAAAAGAAAACTTTCATAAAAAGTCAGCCTGGAAACGCCTGAATAAACCTCAGAGCTCTTAAAACAGTTACTATGGAGTCACTATGGAAACAAGCAATGAGTTAAGCCAACTGCTAATCTCAGCAAAGCACAAAAAAGAATGCTTATAGTCATTTAGCCTCCTTACTGCAAGGCTTGCTGCTCAAATACAAGGCTGGCTAATACCCTGAAGTCCCAGCCACTCTTTCCATGCTCAAAAACATACACTGGTATGCAGCTTAGCATACAATTAAAGGATAAATTTATCAAAACAGACCAGAAGCAACATACAGTAGCACTGTGGGTCTCCTGCCATTCAACCCCCACACGCACTGGGGTAGAGAAAACTGAGTTGGCCTTGCACAGGGTGGTTTTAAACAGTGGTTTGTGGATTCAGCAAGGAGTTTGCAGCCAAGGGGTAAGTGGGCAAACACGTGCTGTCAAAACCCCTCCGCAGGAGCGAGCAACTACATCCTTCCCCCCAGCCTGTCAAGGAGGCAACTGATAGCACTCCACCACATAATCCACATCACACAAGCTATGTGAATAGTAACAAAAGGAGTACATTTGTAAGGGTTAATTGCAAGCTTGCATTCTGTGCAAGTGATGTTGTTGTTAAGCAGAGGCTGTCGGGACTCTGGGAAAGAAAAGCAGAATTACTCATCTGCAAAGCAGGAAAATCACGACATTCACACGGCCACTGCCACACAGACATCACCACTTCTGTTCTTCTTGGGGGAGGAAAGAAAGACAGGGCTTTGCAGGGGAAGGACCTCAAACTTTCCCTTCCCACCAGTCTCCTACTGAAATCAGCACAAGATCACGTGGACTAGAAACGTTTACGCACTTCTTGCTTTTTAGTAAATAACAGCAAAAGAGTACAATACACTAAAAACAGCTGTTAAAAGTTAAAACACTGGGAAAAAGCTGTTAAATTATACAAAATGCTGCAGACTTGTTCCTGACCAGCAACTTAAAATATTGTTACTAGAAGGAAGCAAAGAGGAGTCAGAGCAAACTTTTCAACCTGCAGAAACAGGTAGTTGATCATTTTAGAAAGTCAGGTATTCGACACAGTGAAATTCAGCCTGGTCTTTACAAGTGTGCCAACACTAACACAAGCAGGATCTGCAGGCTCATACGTAGCCAGCCCCAGAAATATGGTTGCAGCAGCACTATTCCCCTCGGGCAGCCCCAGCAACATGTCCTAGCACTGAACCCCACTTCTGTGAATATACAGCAGTTTCAGTACCTGATTCTTTCCACTCTCCAGTGGAGAACTCTACTGGGAGCTCAAAAGCATACC